TGGCGGTGGTCGCTGTGCCTGATGGAGGGGCTTTGGAGGTGCTGGCCATCTGCTCACAGAATCGTTCAGGTTGGAAGGGACCTCTGGAGATCATCTAGTCCAACCTCCCTGCTCAAGCAGGGTCACCTAGAGCACATTGCCCAGGATCGCATCCAGATGGGTTTTGAATATCTCCAGTGAAGGAGACTCCACCATCTCTCTGGGCAACCTGTTCCAATGCTCAGTCACCCTCACAGTGAAGAAGTTTTTTCTCAGGTTCAGATGGAACTTCCTGTGGTTCAGAAGTTCTCCCTGCTGATGCCAGAGTTTGCCCCTGTCTGGCTAGACGCTTACTCATGTTGCAGCCTGTGGCCCCATGGCAGCAGGGGCAGGTGATTGCATGGAGGGTTGTGGTGCTTTGGCTTGGGAAGGCCTCCTCTACTCCTGGAGGACTCATCGGGGTCTCAGAAACGGCACGACAGTCTCCCTGGGTGCCATCCAGGGGCTGTGGGTACATGCAATGTCCTGTCCAGGCACTCTAGGCAGCTGTGGTCCCAGCCCTGGGCACGCTGTGCCCAGCCTGAAAACAGCTGTGTTGTGTCCCCAGGTGGCCAAGGACGTCTCCGTGCGGCTCCACAACGAGCTGGAGGCAGTGGAGAAGAAGAGGATCAGGCTGGAGGAGGAGAACGAAGACCTGCGCCAGAGGCTCATCGAGACGGAGCTGGCCAAGCAGGTGGTGCAGAACGAGATGGACAAGCTCCGAGAGGTGAGGGGGACGTGGGGGAGCAGGGACGTGTCACCGGGTGGAGGACAGTAGCACGGAGGGGGCCGAGGGAGGGAGCGAGAGGCGTCCCCAAGGCGCATGCCGAGCGGTACAAACCAATGCCCAGCTGTTAGCGCCGTGCAGGGCAAGCCAGCGAGGCTCTGCCTGTAGCCAACTTTGTGACCCGTGCCGTGGGATCCCCTGGCCCCGCTCGCTTTGCGGAAACCCAAGCTGCCCTGCCGGGATGCTTCTGAAACCCGAGCAGCGCCTCGCTCGCTGCTCTGCCTCCCTCTCTGCTGTGAACGAGGCCCTAAGAGCAGGGACGCGGCGTCTCTGACCGCAGCGGGGCTCCGCGCAGCCTTTCTTAATGCGTCCTCAGGAAAAATGGCTCTTGCTAAGCCTGACAGCCTGGGCCGTGCCTGGTTCCTTCTAGCTGGTGCTGCGCACGATGCGTGTGAATCGCGTGCAGTGGAGACCCTGCCCTTGCCCTGGCGTACTGCCCGGTGCTGGCCGTATCCTGCCTGCCTGCAGGAGGGGCTGGCCAGGCCAGGCAGCTCCTGCTCCGCAGCCTCACGTTGCTCTGGCTCTTTCATCGGGAGGTCCCCTCCTCCGTGCACGTTGCTAATTCAAACCGGGCAAGTGCAGAGGGGCTGCGGAGCAGCTGTGTCCTGGCTGTGCTGCTGGGGGTTGTGCTGCCGGAAACCCAGGGTACCGGTGAGCCGGCTGAGGATGCTAGCTCATGGCTAGGAGCGATGCTGCTC